TGGCTATGTGATTGCCTCCTTAGTGACCATGTAATTAAGGAGCTACCTATATGTCATAAAAGATAAAGAAAAAAAACAAAAAATATAGTGACTAGTGCATGCAGTTATTATGTCAGTGAGTTAGTACACATAGAACCCAATAGTTAGAGCTGCAATAGTAGGGGATTTTATAAGTTATATCAACAGGGGGAAATATAGATAAAAATGTTAGTAAATACTGAATTAAGTGATGAAAACTAGTTATGTGTTGCATATCCTGCATGACCATCAGCCAAGAATGTCATGAGAGTGAGATGTCATCATCATTACTGTGGCAAAGCAAATATTCACCACATATTCTAGCATGATGGAGGTTGGACTTGTTCTTCGTTTGACATTAAATCAGTGGGGAAATCTGGAAGCTCAGTCATGCCCAAACATAAATGGTGGAGTTTGCTGGTCTTTTATTCACAGTACTGACAGACATAGATGCTATGGTGATCATTCTATGTGTAGTAAAATCACTAGATATGGAACAGGGTGCACCTAATGTAATGCAGTTGTCAAAAAAGGAACCAACCCAGGCTTTGTTTTCTCATATGTTGGGGGAGATAATTGTCTTTTGCTGGATTCTGAAGTGTAGGAGGCTGTAGTGTCATTTCATGCTCTCCAATTCTGAACCATTATCTTGGTATGTAGATGTTAAAGTTAGCTTTGTGGTGGAGTCTACATTACCTATTTAAAGAAAAAGAAAGATAACTGTGTAATATCTGTAATTATTAAAGATTTTATTGTATTCTCCCGATTGTAGTATCATGCCTGAGTTTCTTCATTCTTAAGAAAGGATTAAAGAGGGAAAACTGCAGCACAGATGTAACTTTTGTCAAATTCTTCACTGAAGAATTTACCATATGATAGGTACTCTTAATGGGATCTAAGGTTATTTATAGTATTGATTAATTATTTTCACTATAGATAATTTGAAATGTTTCTAAGCCAGATGGAAATGCCAGAAAGTTTGAAATATTCCTTATGGTAATTATTTGCAAATACTTCAGAATCTTTCATCTTACCTGTGATAATTAGGAGTAGTCATGGATATTCAAGGGAATTTTAGATGTGTAAAGAATAAAAAAATGTCAGAGTGATTGTTGTTCCACTTTTTTCAAGTATTTTTGGGGTGAATCTTGATAGTTCATCAGCAGAGACTTTTCATGTTATTTTCCTTGTATCAATATTGCTTGTGTTCAGTTAAAATCTACTTAGAGCTTGTGATCTGTGATGCATGGCCTGCAGTCCCAAGTCCTACTGAATAGTGGTCAAGGGTTGGAGAGTGAGGGTAACAAAGTATTCATTAAGAAAGGAAAAAATGAATATTATATTGTGATATTAAGAAGTGCTATATTTGAAAAATGTAATTTCCATTCTTTGTTGGTATTATTAACATGCACATCCCCTGCCTATCTTTTCTGGCAATTGTGAAAGAAAACTTATTGCTGTGAAGAAGTGCTGTTGAAAGAGACTAGTGCAATTAATAATTTTGTGATATTTTCATTGCTAACAAAGTGTATAGTCAAGTGACCATATCAATAAGGAAGGGATTCATCTTTGCGATCCTTACTGTTTCTTCTCTTCATTTTTATTTGTTCTATAAAGAGCTACATAAGAAATCTTTTGGCCATGTAATGTCTCTAAGCCCCCCTCACTTCCATCAGATTCTTTAGGCTTTTAAAGTCAGGGGCCGTTATGGATAAAACATTTCTAAGAATCTTTCCGACTATAGAATTCACTCAAGAACACTCCCTTAGCAGAGTGGTGAAGGAAAGGTCAGTCATTCTTTTGTGATAATGAAAATTAATACACTGTTTAGCCTGCCATTACTCCTTTATTTTTACATACATTTTTGTAGTTCACCCAAATTTTTCCAATGTAATTCATACCATCATCCTATAAGAGCTAAGATTATTTTGAAATGGATAAGTTGCATATTATACTAATCATTAGTTTTTCAGGGTTATCATAGGAAACTGTTCACCCTCAGTAATTCAGCTCAGAAATAGGGCAGATATCCTGGTGTATGTATAAGTTGTATGGTGCCATGCTCAAGATTTTCAATAATAGTACAGCTGATCCTCAAAATTAGTTATGAATTAAGATAATTAAATTAAGATAGAGATAGAGATAGAGAAATAGAGAATTGGAGAAACAGCGAATAGGAGAAACAGAGAGTTAGAGAAACAGAGAATTGGAGAAACAGATAAATAAATTAAGATCTAGTTAAATGCAAATTGTGGGGTAAGAATTAAAATTAAGCTTGTCGGTTAATTAACCCAGAATTTAGCATTAACACTTGATGTTTTCTCTCTTCCACATTTATGTATTAAAGTTGGTTTATTGAGAAACACTATTTAAGATATTTAATGTTGACATCACAGATTCATTAGTATATTAGTACCATAGACTTGTAGGTAAATGGTTGCATAAATAGCAAAAGTAATGTAAGCTCTTGCACCACCTAGTG